CTGAGTAGATGTTTGGACAGGGCAGGTAGCGTTTTCGATTGTCTACGGGCTGTTCTCGATTCATCTTTCCTAATCTGGATACGACGCGTGGGTTAGCTACTGTGAGCCTTGTTTGGCACAGGTTCTGGACCTGATCCCCTGGCTTCGGATGAGAGCATGCCGAGGTGAAGCACTTTGGATACCGTTTTGCTGCAGGTCCGCTCGATGAAGACCCAGTAGGCATTAGGACCAAAGGAGAACCGGGTTCCGGTTTCCTTTGGTGCTTTCGGGGTACCTGACCTGGACCCCCTTTGCAGACAGTGTATGCCCTGGCCGTTTGTCGTTTTTTGTTTTTTGTTTGACTTGCTCGAGTCATCCGTGACGCACGGGTTTTGAAACTTTGTTGCTATTGATAGTCTACACGGTACTAGGAGCATCCGGGGACCTACATAAGCAATGATTGCATAGTTGTTGTCCCTTTTGAGTCCGACGACGTGAAGCCCTCTGTTGTTTCCGGAGATGACAGCGGGGTAGCGACGGAGGTTGGAATGTAGGAAAGCTGGGATGTTGACGAGGGTGAAGACTGGTGGTTTCCCCCTGAAGATGACCGTGTGGCAACGGTTGAAACCGGTCGGGGTGCCATACCCACCGGCTACGAGCAATCTTGTTTACGATCTTGTTTACGATCTTGTTTACGATGTATGTACTTTTGTACTGTGACTCGACTTGTGTATTTTGTGTGCATGAGTTACTCGACTTGTGTATTTCGTGTGCACGAGTTCTTTTCACACACTCTATCTGATCACCTGCAGAAAGCCCATGTGAACCCGCTTGGAGACGATGGCTGAGCGAGCGTGAGCATGAAGATGATTGTCCTGATCCTTGTTCTTGAACTGTTGGTTTGGTGAACTATCGACGATTACCGGGAGGTGAGGGAGAATAACCGAGGAAGTATGCCGGGTTTAGAGTGTTCATAGCCTCGGAGTAATGATTAACGAAGGAGGGGGTTGCGAGTTTTCGTGTTTGTTGAAGGTTGAACAGCTGGTCAGTGCAGCTATTCAGAATCTTGCACAGCCGGGACTTCGTGGTCACAAGGAGCAATGTCGGGAGGAGGCTACCGTGATTACGGTCGTGACGGTGAGCGCGACAGGTATGCTGGCGGGGGACGCAGTGGGAGCTATGATCGCGGCCGGGAGCACTCCCGGGATCAACGTGCTGATTGACACCAAGAACCACGAAGATCGTTATCACAAGACAGGGAACCTTACGCGAGGGAACCCCAGCGTCGAGCCCCGCCAGTGTGTTTTGAATGCGGACAACCGGGACACTATCACAACCAGTGTCCCCGGCTAGTTGGGGAAGGCAGTTCACGCTATGGCGACCAGCGATGGGGGCGATCGACTTCGCCTACCCTGAACCGGGCAAGTGAGAAGCGATCGTCATCGGAAGAGCCGGCCATGAGGAAGCAGATTGAAGGACTCACTACCTCACTTGCGGAGCAGGTGGCGGCCGAGAACGCCCGGCGTGAAGAGAGGGAGAAACGTAAGAAGGAAAAAGTCGAGAAGAAAAGGAGGGAGGAGGAGGAGAATAAAAAAATTGAGGAAGAAAAACGTGAAGCGGAGCGTAGGAAGAAGAAGAAAGAGATGAAGATTCAGAAGGAAGCTGAGGACAAGGAGAAGATGAGGAAAGAGATGCTGATGCATATGTCGCTGCATGTTGAAGGTCTGGAAGAGAGACTGCAACACGTCGCTGCATGTTGAAGGTCTGGAAGAGAGACTGCAACACGTCGCTGCATGTTGAAGGTCTGGAAGAGAGACTGCAACACAGGCTGGCGAACGTGCTGAAGAACGCGAAGAAGAAGGGGAAAGCGAAAGTGCAAGAGTCCGAGGATTCAGATGATTCGTGCGCGTCTTATGATTCCGACGAAGGTGAGGTGGAGACTCTGAGCAATAAGACTGGGGAGTTGACGATAAACGAGAAGCGAAAATGAAGCGAGGAGAAGCAGATTGGCGATAGCCCGCCTATGGAGACTCCGAAGAAACGGCACGCTCAGCAAGAACCAACGCGAATGTCGGAGAGACTCCAGCTGAGTTGCCGACACCCACCCATGAAGATCTCACCGAAACGGAAGACGCCACGACGCGGGACACGTGCGGGACGAAAGATTCCAGCAATAATTGGATCTATTGGAAAACTCAAGTACGTGATCGAGAACCTACGGGACCTGGCTGACCTCACAGTGGACGAATTGAAACAGATCTACGAGACCGAGGACGTGCAATGGGAAGGGAAGAAGATGCAAATTGTCCTAGCTATTGCCGATAAACGAACGCAAGTGGCATACGGATCGCATGACGAAGAGGACGTGGAGTATGTCGCGGATGACACGGGCACCAAGGAAATTGCCGAGACAAGCCGAGATGAGGAAGAGGAGGCGTGATGGAGCTGGGATGTCCAAGAGATATGGGCAATATGCCGCTGTCTAATTGACTGGAGGAAGGAAGAGTTAGGTGTTGCACATACTGACAGCCTATACCGACTGGTCGTGATTTTGCTAGCATTGGCTAATGAGATCCGTTGGTTACGGAAGTGTGTTGATTCGTGGGTTAGTTTGTATGCACAATACCGGATAGATGCTTTTTTGGATGCATCTTGTTGCATCTACGCTTTGTCTTCACCAATCTGTCGTGCGCAGTATATCGATGGAAGGAACATCTGTCAGTTTGTAACCGAGGTTTGAAGAACAACCACCTGTATAGATGGTGGCGCTCTTTCGGAGCGGAGTCTTACGTACTCTTACCATTAGATTGTTGTAAACCTGACGAACTGATAGTCCTGGAACAGCTATACATACGACGTTGGTGCCCTGTTTTAACACTACCGGAAAGCAACCATGTGCAAGCAAGAAGAAGTGATGCAGACGCCGGAAAGGGAGTGATGAGAGACGTAGGGAAGCAGAGCACCAGAAGGTCAACCAGGGTCTGAGGACATTAACTCCGGTGAGGATACGTACTGAGGATGATGAGGCATGGAGCGTTGACCTCTTCTCAACGTTCGGAAAGAAGGAGAAGGATGATGCAAGGAACTTCAAACTAACCTCGCAAGGCGGCGATAGCTGGTGTGGTGGATGGAAATCCATAAGGAAAGCGTTCGGAAATTCGATCATCGTAGTAAACGGATCTAGCAAAAAGTTGTGCGAATGTAAGCATTTTCTGGAGAAGGGTGGGACATGTGTGGTGAGTCGACTACGAAAGTGGAAGCCGAAGGTAGGTCCAGATAAGCAATTTTTGATTTCGGCATTGGGCAATCCAAGCCGTGTGAACCAGTTGAAACGCTGTAGTCTTGAGGAACTAGTCAGATTGAACGGATCGGCGAAAGAATTCCAGAGGGCATCTACGATGGCCTACCTGCGAAGGCTGATAAGCCGAACGATTAAGGAAGGGTTTGCTTGGCATGTTAATGCGAAACTGACTGTTCGTTTGAAATTCGATGATAGGATACGTATGGTTGAAGTGAGGAAACTTGTTAATGATAAGCTACAGGAGATGGAGTTGCCTGTCTGCTTGAAGACAGTTGCGCGAAGTCAGATTCGTATCGTAGGAACTAAGAATCCCTCGGTAGTTGACTCACTGCACAATCAGCGAGTATTTGCGAGAGCAGAGGTACTGACCTGTACTTGTGCTGGACTACCCTATCCTAGGATAGGAGATCACATGCAGTTTCGCCTTCAGGAGATGGAGGGCGTAGATCCCCTGCTATGTTACGCTAACAATATCCCGAAGCTACCTCACCCAGACCGTGTGCAGTTGCTTAGGAAAGAGATTACCGATGGACTGTTGGGTTGGAGCAACTGTAGGGCACAGACGACGTCGGTTAGCAAGGAGGAAGTGGCTAGGTGTATCACCACGAATCACATGCAGCAGGGAGATGGTAGGTTTCTGAGCATGAGCAAAGTGATGGATCTGAAGAGAAAGCTGGAGGGACTAGTACTGACCCCCCTGGACCAGAACCCAGGAGAAACATTGGTACTATGCTCGAAAGTGTACTACGAGGCGATGATTTCCCTGTTTGTAGGCAATCCGGGTTACGTTCCGGTTGACATAGAGGAGAAGGAGATTCTAAGAAGATCGAAGCAAGCCCTGAAGGATGAGGGTTTGCTTAAGTTCGCAAGATGGGACAAGAAAGGGGTAATAGGTGAAGCCTACGTCCTGCCCGAGCATAAGGACACAAGTAGGTTCAGACTGATCTGTCCGACGTACGCGGAACCCACTGTGAAGACTTGTCGCACCGCATTGAAAGCCTTGAACTTCTTGTTGTACACGCTGCCAGATTAGTGGCACTTCAACCTCAAATCGGTGTCGACACTGCTACCACGGATCGAGAAGTTCAAGAGTAGCATAGATCGTGAAGTCATAGGGCAGTCAAGACTCATCGCGATGTCATATAATATGAGGGACACGTTCAGTAAACTGCCCCACGACGAGATCCTGACAGCGGTCAACTGGGTAATTTACTACCATCTACAACATGGCAGGAGCATGGTACGCGTGAATCCGCGAGGAAGAGGCAGCACTTTTGGGCGGACAACCGGCGATGACCACTGGCGTGCTATCGAGTTGGAATCTTTGTTGGCTTTCGTGCGACTGGAACTACAACAGACCTTCACTAAGGCTACCGGGGTCGTGATGAGGCAGGTATTGGGGATCCTGATGGGAAAGAGCACCAGCCCCCCACTAGCCTTCATTTTGTGCGCTTTTGTGAAGTTCCGCTTCCTGAGTAGTTTAGGGATTCTTAGGAGATGGGTGTTGGTTGTCGATTGATGGACGATGTCAACATCGTGATCCTGGATCGGGAGGGGAAAGAAAAGCGAGTATCGGAGATTCGTGAGAAATTTGAAACTTGCTACCCGGATAATTTGTCCTTAAAACGAACAGATGACGGGTCTGGAGTTTGGGAGTTTTTGGGGATAAAGATGAGGGTAAGCATGCTTGCACCCTACATTGGATGCATGCAACTCTCTAAGAATGAGAAGACGATTTGGGAAGATGGGACCTTGGAGTTCAAAAATGGACAATCCTTTAATTCTTGGGGTAGTAAAGCACAAAAAAGCATTGTGATTATGAGCTACCTCCATAGGATTGATAAGAACACCAACATCCGATCTAACATTCCTTTGAAGGTGCTTACTTTGATGAGGGAGCTGCGGATAAAAGACTTCCCGAAAGAATTTCTCAAAAGAATCATGAAGCGTTTCGCTAAAGGCCGGGACGCGATTTGGAAGAACGTCTTCAATTGCCTATATTGATCCATGATAGCCTATGACGTCCTGTTTGGATGTTTCCAGGAGTTCTGTAGAAGTAGCATCAGTGTCGGAACTTTCCGGATTCTGACTCGAATTTGTCAGCAGCCGATGAAGGCCGTTTTGTTTCTTGTTTCCATTCTCCCGTTGTTCGTTTTTCCGTTTTGCCTTTTCGGTTTTCTTTGGTTTTGGTTTTGCCTTGTCTTGCTCGTATTTTCGAGTTTTCATGAGCCCAGAAGTAGTGCTATGTTTTGGATGTTCCCACGAATTTGTTGTGGTTCCGACATGGGCACCTACCACGGTCAGCGGCAGACTGAGGATGACTCCCGTTCTTTTGCACCGCTTCTGTGGCTTGGTGTTGATGGCTTTGTTGCTAGTATGGTTAGTGAGTGGATGTTTGAACAGGGCAGCATGTTGCAGGGAGTAAACTGTTTCTGTCTCTCGTGTAGGTGTGTTGTGTTGGTTTAGCTAGGTGACTGAGTAGATGTCTGAACAGGGCAACAGATTGCAGGGAATAGGCTGACCTTGTTTTCGTCATTTTTGAATCCGGATGGATGCGTAGGTTACTTACAGTGAGCCGTTTTTTTACCTGAGTAGATGTTTGGACAGGGCAGGTAGCGTTTTCGATTGTCTACGGGCTGTTCTCGATTCRTCTTTCCTAATCTGGATACGACGCGTGGGTTASCTACTGTGAGCCTTGTTTGGCRCAGGTTCTGGAYCTGAKCCCCTGGCTTCGGATGAGAGCATGCCGAGGTGAAGCACTTTGGATACCGTTTTGCTGCGGGTCCGCTCGATGAAGACCCAGTAGGCATTAGGACCAAAGGAGAACCGGGTTCCGGTTTCCTTTGGTGCTTTCGGGGTACCTGACCTCGACCCCCTTTGCAAACAGTGTATGCCCTGGCCGTTTGTCGTTTTTTGTTTTTTGTTTGACTTGCTCGAGTCGTCCGTGACGCACGGGTTTTGTAACTTTGTTGCTATTGATAGTCTACACGGTACTAGGAACATCCGGGGACCTACATAAGCAATGATTGCATAGTTGTTGTCCCTTTTGGGTTCGACGACGTGAAGCCCTCTGTTGTTTCTGGAGATGACAGCGGGTTAGCGACGGAGGTGGGAATGTAGGAAAGTTGGGATGTTGACGAGGGTGAAGACTGGCGGTTTCCCCCTGAAGATGACCATGTGGCGGCGGTCGAAACCGGTCGGGGTGCCATACCCACCGGCTACTAGCAATCTTGTTTACGATGTATGTACTTTTGTACTGTGACTCGATTTGTGTATTTTGTGTGCATGAGTTACTCGACTTGTGTATTTCGTGTGCACGAGTATTTTTCACACACTCTATCTGATCACCCGTCCTGCTCGAGATTCACAAACTTCTTTTTTTTTTTTTACAAAAAAAAGAGTATATCATATAATCACAGGCTGGGAAACGGGCCCAGCGTCCCTCACATCAATAACCACGGCACGCAGGGATAAGCCAGGCTCTCCTACAACGCCTCCTTGTGTACTCTCTGTTGTCAATGTATTCTAGTGAGGATTGATGTCAGATACAAAAACTATGAGCTGCGTGCTCTTTGTCTACTTTAACGTATTTTACTGACTGCTTGAATGTATTTTAGTGACCGCTCTCGCCAGATTCAGAAATAACGTGGAGCGAAAAAAAAAAAAAAAAAAACGTGGAGCACATAGCCCTACTCGGCCAGGGATTGCAGTCCTCCCCACTCACCAAAAAAAAAAAAAAAAAAAAAAAGGAATGTGGAAGGTAGGCCCATTGGAAAGCCAACTGCCACCTATGGGCAGGTAACATTCCAAGGGAAAACCTCCAACATCCTCTCCCTCACGACCATGATGAAGAGGGCGCCTGACCTTGCAAGGGGGCTCGACAGTCGAAAAAGAGGACTGGGTGGTTAGATACTCAGATCTGCCCTGCCCCCGTGTCATCTTTAAAGTCATAAACAATGTGGATGGTGCATGCGCGTTGGAAGCCTATGAACCACAACTGCCTAGGGCAAGGTTCTCCAAACTAACATAAAACCGCCAACCATAAAACCGCCAACCATAAAACCGTCAACCTGGACTCCACACATGGGTGGGCTGGTCTGATGCAGGTGAGCGAGGTAGGAGATCCACAAAACAACCACTACACATTTCAGCCACCCACGCCTGTGGCTAAGCTCCCCTTTGACCCGGCTGAGTGGGAGTGGTCTGGCACTCGACCTATGCAGATATGGGAGTATACAGTCAAAGGCGGATATAGAGCATTGCCACAAGACCAGCTAATCAACAACACAATTGCAGACAGATGGGCACGGGACTCGCCATTAGAACCAAAACTGCAACAATCCTTCACCTGGTCTACATTTGCGAAGATCATGCCAACAAACCACAGGTCTCTACAGTGGCAGATCCTGCACCGCTGCCTCCCCATCCCTGACTAGTTAGTCTCCAGAACAAACCTGGAACAGAAAGGGGAGTTGTCTCCCATTTGTGCATTTTGCACGAGGTCTCACACGCCGGCCCGTGCGACCCTCGAGCATTGCCGGCTGGCATGCCAGATGGTTACCCAAGTATGGCAGTGGTGGGATGCGGCCTTCCATTCCCTCACAACCTATCATATTCCTTGGGATGTTCGCCTTCTGCTCCTGGGAGACAATTGCCAGTTGCGGGCTCACTGGTCTCCATTTGCAACCAACCTGTTTTCATGCACACGGTTGCACATCCTCATGCTGACACGGAGAACCAGATGCTCCTTTGAAAGAAAAGAGCATCAATTCGGCCTGCAACAAGCACAACAAGCTATCGAGGAACAAATTAGGACCAGGACTCGAGAAGTATGGAGGTTGATGAAAAGTGACCCTCTCGAGGAGAAAGACCCTACTGCTAAGCAAGCAATCCGCGACTCCTACGCACAGATTTGGCAGGATCCAAACAGAATATTTTTTGAACTGGACGCCACCCTCAACATCATTTGGAAACCATGGAGGAGCACGGAACCCAGATGGCAAAGGAGATCTTTTCTCCGAATTCCAAGTTCCTTACCTCCAACCAAACTTTGTTCTCCTCACACCTTCGCAGCCGTAACACGATTGAGGCTACCCCC